ACGAACTTATATTAAGCACACCTTCAGATAACCAGTTAATCCGTCGAAGGTTGCATTGAAATGCAAATTACCGAGTATAAACGCATTTCCAACCATTGTTTTGGATTTGAAGCCTCTAAAAATTGAATTGGAAAGCATAGTATTTCGTTATTGTAACTATAAACACATTATATGATGAATATATATTGAAGTAAACAATTTCAGCAAGAAAGAAAAGTACTGTACTACCCATCCCTCAGAAAGAACCACACAATGAAAATGCTGATAAGTAGAAAGAAAAGCAAAACTTAAACAAAACAAAATAGAAACTCGTATGAAATGCTGAGATATTTGCAAAACTCCGGACCACAGGTGTATGCAGTGGAGAACGAACACGCGCTGTTGTCCTTACCGGGGAGCAGCGCACTTCACCACTACACCATCCGGATGGATTTCATACGAGTTATATTTCGCAACATAACCTGCCATTAAGAAGAAAAAAAAAAGGCAGTAAATAAAAGAGTTAAAATAGAAACTATTCGAATCATAAATGAATATTTTCAGTAATATCTACGTTCGGACGTGCACTTTGAGCTTAAAAGAGAGCAGGACTACATGAAGAATCCGGAAGCGCATGTTCCAATCAAGGTTCTACCCATTGATACAGTTTCTCGTTACGTATTTATTTAGATACCTGGATGGCTCGTTTTCACCGGTTGTGCGGGCCGCAGCACAATTTCCATTTTTTTCGGACATTTGTTGCTTTAGCCATTGGTTTAGCTATTGCAGCCCCGAGGTCAGCCTAACCAAAGTATGACCCAGATTGTCACCACCACAGGTTATCGAGTCTTTGTGGATCAGAGGGAGATTTGCCACCATGCCACTAGTTTGGTACCAAGACGGTGACGGAACCTGATATTGGTTTACTCTTAGCTGGGTTTCCTCATGGAAACGCCGGACCCCTCAGCTTGGGAGACCATGCTGGGGGGGGGATGAATCCCTCGCCGTAAATTGCAGCCCGACACCCAAGAACACTTCCTAGCCACGATGGGTGGTGAACCATTGGGAGGTAGTTTCTCGTTTGTACAAATAATCAAGCTACGCACTATACAACTCCGAAGGAGTGCAAAATTTAGTGGATCTGGCGTCGAATCGAACCAAAGACCGATCCCTGTGTGTTTCGGGGCACCTCTAGTAACTGTACTACACGCTTCCAAAAAATAGCGAGCTGTGCTGCAACCAGGGCGAGTTCAGCGCAGTGGGTAGAGGTGCTCTTCAGGCTGAACTGGATAGACCGTTTGTTCGAACCCGCTACGCGGGCTCACCAAATCATGCATCAATTCGGGATAAGCAACTCCGTACCATACTTGTCTAGAGGATAGAAACATTGAAATAATACATCGCTAGGCTACCGCAAGTCACTGCATAGGCCAGACATGTTTTCTATCACCTCTATCGATGTCTGATGAAGACGAACAGATGGCGCATGTTTTACGGATGGCTAAAAGCCGAGAGTTTCATCCTCTCATTCCTTTAATGGTATCACTAAATTTTGTAGGTGAGAGACAGGTCGAAACGACTGCTGACACCTTTCGAATGGTTCTTTAAAGAACAGAAACTTCTATCAAACTGTACTCACCTCACTGTCAAAGGCGTTTTAGCCAAGATGGTAACTAAACTTCCTGGAGAACTAGTAGATGATTCATACACCTTATAGACGTTTATACCAAAAGCTTTCAAATTGTCCACAAAGCACAACTAAATTTGTAAACTGCACTTCAATAAAATTCTTTTCCATGATAAATTAGTTTAAACTACTGCCTATTATTTCACACAATAACCGTCAGAATAATCAGTAATACTAAAATAAAGAATGTTAAGTAGAACCACTATAAGGTTGAGACGCTTGCAAAACTTGGACCTTAGGCTAAATCGAACCCCCGATTACCCTTTCCGGTGACTCGTGTTACCCATTGCACCGCTGAGTCCCCCACTTTGCCGTTATCTCAGCCAGTTCTCCACCTAACAGTGCCATCAGTAATCATGCGGCAGTGGGATTGATCTAGAGAGCACAAGTCGGTATTGAACCCAGTTAAGCCGGGGCTGTAGTCAAAATCACAATGTTAACTCTTATTTAGTGCCTATTATTATTGTTCATCGAAAGGTACTATGTATTATACAACCGAAACTAGGCTAAGATATTTGCAAAACTCGGGGCCCAAGCCAGATCGAACCCGCCATAGAATGTTAGTATATGCAGAAGGGTGCGGGTGACGCAGTGGTAGTAACGCCGATCACCACTAGCATTCCATGCTCACCAAGCCTTTCATCCGTCCAGCGTCGGAAAATTGGAACCGGACTTGTTCGGGAAAAAAAATCACTCTCTTCAAACCAACTGGGAACGCTGTAGCGCGGCCATCTCAGCATGACAAGGAAAAATGACCCAACTAGCATTTAACACCATTCATGACGGAAGGGAAACCCTCAAGCAGCAGCTAAACCCATACACAAAACAAAGTCGAAGACGTCCAGGGATAAAGGATGGGAGAAAACGAATTTGAATGTAAATGCTGAGATCAACAGAGTAGATGTGAAAGGCGGGTCGTGCAATAATTAATAATAGTAATTCAACTATGACAATAATAACGATAATGGTAATAGCAGTAATGATAGTAACAATGTATGTATAATGTAGAATTCACCTCATATTCCGTACTTGCAACAAGTTCATTTTCTCCAAGCTCAAATATCGGCGACACTTGTTGTTGAATCTGAAATGAAACAACAAAAAAGAACTGAAAAAAAAAGTTCTCAAAAAAAAAGAAAATAACTAAAGCACAAACAGAAACACATTTCCAAGCATTTTCGTCAATGCAGGAGACATTTCCCTGTCAATTATGTTAAATTTGGTCGTTAAGTCCCCTTTATGGTTGACCTTATCAATGATGTAGGAAGAAGGTACAAAACTTTAAAAATTTCCGTCGCTAATAGCGAGGAAGTAAATAACCGTCACGGATATTTTTTATGTAGTAAAAGATACTATAGCACCTTTTTCCCACTGTCGTCCGTCAAATAAATGTCGGATGAATCCACATGGATGCATATAGGCTCATCGCGAGATCTTGACAACGTGTTGAATACAACAACGAAACTGAAGAATATGGATGATTACAGGAAGAGTTACATAAATTTTCTGTTGTTTGGTAGATAAAGGATAAAAGGATAGAACTTTCAGCGTTGATCAACACCTCAGAGATGCGCCATGCATTCGACTTCAATAAGCATCATTGGAAGTGATTGAATGCATATCTGGCCTATACGATAATTGATGGTGGCCGACCGATATATCGCGCCAGTGCCACTTTCCTCCCAGACAAGTGTGATACCAATTTGCGGGAGGAATAGAGGAGTTTGTGCGCCACAGGCGCTAGGATCGATTCCGTGGGTGTAGCAGGGCGCCTCCAACCACTGCCCTACATGTGCGTGCATGGTAGATATATTTGAAAACCTTTTCTTCTCGAATAAACATGAGGTTGTTAGTAAACGGTTTACTCAACAGTGGCTAACGTTTCGGCGATTTAGCCTTCGTCAGTGGAAACCAGCCGTGCTAGGTTTACATAGGAGAGGAATGCATTTGGCCCAGGTAAAAAAAACTGGTTTGACGTATGGGTCGAGCTCACGTGTAATCACATCGTACACCTCCAACAAATTAAACGAGTGTCTAAAAGCTGCTTTCGATGCGATTGAAATTTAGGTTTCAAATTTTTCTGCTTGGGTTATGAAAGCGTGACCTTTCCAGGCTGTCAAGGAAACGAAGCCGTTAAAACATCAGCCAGTTTTGAAGAAACCTTTACTAACAACCTTATGTCTGCTCAAGGTGAAAACATTTACTCATCGATTAATGTCGAAGTCGATAGAAAGGCGGTCCTGATGACTACATTAATTTGCATTCTACCATTGTGCAGTAACTGTGACGCCACACCAAATGACCACAGGAAACGGATGCTAATGGGCTTTGAATTGCATGTGGCAGTGAAAGTTTCCACCTCTGCCACTTAGCCAGGCCTTGAAGGAGTAAGACACTTCGCAAACAATAGTATTAAAGATCGTCCAATATTAATTTCAAAACAAACAGAATTAACTAGTAAATTAAAGGCTAACAGCTGTACTGTCCAAAGCATGTGATTCTGCTGCTTTTAAAGTACCGAACTGTATATCGACAAGTGAAAACCACCGAATCACTAGTGTCACAGATAAAAGCCGTTTTTGAAGACAACCACCATCTGCTATTTCTCAAGATCTGATCATATCAGGTAATGCGATCGTGCATTTGTAATAAAAACGAAGCAAAGATGTACTTCAAAGCCATAACCACTCTACCACCTCCAAAATTACCACCACTGTAAGAGAGTTACACACGAGATAAGAACGATTGATTTAAAAGAGTTCAGAGCAGAAAAGTGTGCCTCCCTCCTGATTTCTGTTCTTAATTAAAACAGCGTGTCCCAAAACAACGAGGGGGATGCCTGAGTAATTAGTGATGCGGTCCGCCAGAAAGCAAGGCTTTGGTTCGAACCCCTACCCAATACTATCCTCCAATCGACGTGGGAATGCGCTAGATCGGTCATCTCTAAGATTTCAAGGAGAACTGACTTAACCAGCATTCTACGACGTTCACAAAGAAGATGAAAGCCTCAAGTCAAAACAATGCGCGAAATGTTCGAGGAACCCAGTGGATGATCAGTGCGAGGAAAACAAATCGAATGCAAGAAGTGCTGGAATTCGCACACTAGTGATGACGGGTTATGTAAATGTAAAAAAATGACGAACAAATGATAATTAAAATAGCATAAAACATTACCGCCCTCAAGGAAAACCAACTACGACGAAATCTAGTGTGTTCACATCTCATGCTAAATAAGTACAATATCTCCAACGACTCCCTGTAAAAGAATCGCGCCATGCTCGGCGACCATGTGAGTGTGGAACTTATCAACCTTGTGCTACGTCCACAGGATGCTTTAAAATGAATACAAAACATATAGGTGTAGAGTGAAAACATACTCGCCAACCGTGTAACTTCTTCTTAAGGGTAAAGAATCGTATTTCTCTCGATACTCATCCAAGGCAGTATTTCCACTCGGTACCACAGGAAGGCCGATTAGAGTGCTGAGTCCCTCAGAAAGCACCTGTTCGGTAGCTTCGAGAGCAGCATGCATTCTGTAACGAAAACCATTTCACCGTAACGCAGCATGATAAAAGATTATTAAAGCCCAGTAAGCGTAACAACGAAAGAGAAGTAAGAATAGGCAAACTGAAGTGTTACGAATTGAAACTTGAGAAAAATCCTCACTTAGCACCATAATCTCTCACTACATGATTTTTCGCCGTGCCAGTAACACCGTCATGATGTTGAAATAATGACAATGCTCTCCTTGCTTGCACTAGCTTCGCGAAAATCTAAATATATATTGGAATAACAATGCTGTTCCTAAAAATTCTACGTTCTTCTTCTAAAAACAAAAAAAAGGATGAAGAATAAAGCCCTCGGCGTTGATCAATCGCTAATGGATGCGCCATGCATTCGACTTCATTAAACATCGTTGGTGGTAACTGAATGCATATCTGGCCTTTCCAATGATTCACGGTGGTCTATCGATGTATTGAGACAGTGCTGCTATCCTCCCAGACAAGCCTGCTACCAATTTACCAACCCAGGAGGCGTGGAAGGCTTGGTGTGTCTGGGACGCGGGAATCGATCCCATGTGTATTGCAGGGTGCCTCCAACCACTGCGCTACACGCACTTCTTGAAACTGTGTACTCAAGCGAAACAGTTATCCTCTAGGAAATACAATGCGATACCAACATTAACACAACTCTCGTGAACAACGACACACACACCTCGTCCGAGGGATTTTCACCTTTCATTGACCACAATGAAAAAACGATTTCGGCTGCACGTAATTGATGTTGAAGCACCCGATCCATCTGTTTGTAAAACGGTCGTGATGTAAAGTACCCTAAGCCAAATACATTACTATTAAATAAATCCTGTGAAAATAAGCTAAACGAAATTTATGAGATGAGGATCAAAGAATGTCGATAAACAAACCACTCCAATAATGGTCGTCCCGATCTGAATAAGTGAAGAAATCCCCTGATAAAACAGGTAGTGACTGCTGCTCCACACGTAATGATCTGTCCAATTCAGTGAAATAATCTGACAATGTTCCAAAACGAGCCTAGAAATGCAAATTTGCCAATCTACAGGCTAGACTTATTAAAACTTCCAGGATACATAACACACTACGAAGACACCTTTCTATTCTAAAGATCACATAAATTACAACTAACCAAAGGAAGAAAATACGGTGACCCACGTTAACGTTCCAATCCTTATTGTTATTCATCTCATCAAAAAGCAGCATATAGTTCTGGTATTGTTCGATCCACTCGAAATCCTCAACATATCTGTAAACTACCACGAGCCATAAAGGATAGTGTGTTTGGCGTTGATCAATTCCTCAAGGAACTGTCATGCGTTTACTTTATCAAGCATCTTAGAAGTGATTTAGTGAACATAAAGATTAGCAGAAAGCCTACAAATATACCAATTCAGCGCTTTTTAATCTACCAAGAAGACGTACAAACCTACCGACCCCCGATTTATGGAGGAATTGGTCAACTTCAAGCGTGCCATCAAACCAAGTATTTGTTGCAGAGCATCTCTAACCACTCCGCTACACGCATACCTTTGTGACAACAGTAACGACAACGGTCCTTCTAATGTTGGACTTGGTCAGTAAACTACTGCATCTACTACTACTACACACATTTAAAAACAAAAGATCAGTGGGCTGAGAACCGCAAGCTTCCCGCTAAATAAGCATAACAGGCATTGCCTGAACTAAATCGGTGAACTTAAGCACAAGTAGGAACAGTTGTGTCAAATGACGACTAAACGACGTTAGCAATAAATGATACAACTTTTCTGTGAATTGCAAGAAAGCACCGCAGCAGAAAAGAAAATTCTTTACAATAGTTGGCTCGAGATGAAATCCAATCTTATCTGCACGGATAAAGAATATAAGACAACTAATACAATGCACCTTCCAATGGATTTCCGTCTCAACGTGACTGGAAGGTGATCCTGGGCGCGATATACAGTGGAGAGATTCATGCCCGATAGGGTCTCCCAAGCAGAGAAGAAGTCCTGCGTTTCCATCAGGAAGCCCAGCTAAGGGCAAATCAATCCTAGGATCCACCACCGTTTTGGTATCAAACTAGTCGCATAGTAGCAATTCTCCGTCTGATCCACAAGCGCTGCGATTGCATGTGGAGGCGACGACCTGCGGCAGACTATCACCAAGCTGACCTTGGGACTCCAGGGAACTCCAATGGGTAAACCAGCAAAACTCCAAAAAAGTGGAAATTATGCTAGCGCTCGCACAACCAGTGAAGACGGCCCATCTAAGTATCCAAGCGAGTAATACAATGAACAGTGTTCAACCCAACATGCCACGTGATGACAAAACAAGTACCTATCCATCTAGGAGCCAATAAAGACTGGCTGCAATCCAGTTGAATTGCCAAATGAAATCTGAAAGATTGCAACGTTATATTTCACGATAACACCAACAACAGAGTACGTTGAAAACAATGAAACGCTGGAAGTACGTGGTTATCAGACGCGATAAAGACGAACTCTAGTGAAGAAGATCTGACCAACAACTGATACGAAACAAAACCTCGTAACGAACAACCATTACGCATCGTTCACCACATGGATAGTTTATGAAAAGAACAATTACCGCTGCTTCGACATTCATGCTAAACTAGCGGTACCATTCTCTCACACTTGGATACGTGGATACTTGGATGGCCCGTCTTCATTGGTTGTGCGGGCACCAGTATAACTTCCATTATCAGAAGATTTGCTTGTTTAGCCATTGGTTTAGCCAATGGAGTTCCGAAGTCAGCCAAGTCAAAGTTTATCCCAGATCGTCGCCACCACAGGCAGTAGCCCCCTTTGTGGATAAGAGGGAGATCTGCCACAATGCGACTAGTTCGATATCAGAAACGTGGTGGACCCTGATATTGGTTTACTCCTAGCCGAGCTTCCTGATAGAAACATAGGACTCCTCCTCAGCTTGGGAGAGCCTGCCAGGAGATGAATCTCCCTGCTGTACATCGCAGTCCGACACCCAGGAACACCTCCTAGCCACGATGAGGCGGTAAACCGTTGGGACTATCATCTCATATGAGAATATCTTTAGGTTGAATAGACGGCGAAGAAGAGATGATCTCACGCCAAACATCTTATATGACCTGATTAAATGTGTCCCTTTCAGAAATACTATTCTTCCAAATACTTTTGTTAAAATTACCCAGTTGATAGGCAGAAACGATATCGGCAAAAGCTCTTTACTGAAGTAACATTCCGAATCCATCGTTTTCTTACCATCTATTACTTAGCAACGTCGCATCGACTCGAACGTAGCTGAAGGAAACAGTGGATGAATGAATTTCGAAGAAAACGCTTCGCGCAAAAACAAGAATATTTCATGATTCCATGCCGAGAAAACGCTAACCCAACCAGAAATGTGCCAGTACGCTGGAAATCGCTGTCTAACCGTAAATTGTTCAAAATGCAGAACTGAAATGTACAATATAAACGCATGGTTACCTAAAGTCATCTCCAAGAGGTACTAGCAAGACGTTCGTCTTATATAGTTCACTTTTCTTTCTGTATTGATCGTAGAGAGAAAACGCCCTGAAATGACCGAATTGAAGTGTTCCTGTCAGAAACCATAACCAAGGAGCAACGCTAGTAACAAAAAGACAAAAATAGTCATAAGTGCTCCAGAGAAAATGGCACGTCCTTATGATACGCTCAAGGTTTACCTCGTATTGCTTACCGTCTCTGAACATTTTCTCTAGTGATTTTCTCTGGATCGACATTCCACGGGCAACTAGATCCTCTCCCAGGAAGTCTTCTTTAAAAAAAATTAACGCTTGAAAACTAATAAGGAAAAGCATGTCTCCAAGAAAAAAAATTTTTGTTTTCACCGAGTTAAATGGATAATTCACGGTAACGACACGACAACAAAACAGCAGAAAACAAACCTAAAATCGAACTGGCAACAAATTTTTGGATCCGGTCCGCATGTATGAGGTACGTCATAGGAATAAAAAGGAAACACATGAGTACGGACATCGGTCTTACCATGAGCTCCTAAAGAAACGAAAGAACATGTAAACGAAAATCCAGCAAACAGAATACGTCCAATCTATGCAAACGGACATACTCACCCCAAAGTTGTCGCCACATAAACTCCAACTGTTTGTTTTTTGCGAGATGCTTTTTCACTGAGTAGTGTACCCTTAATGTAATATAAATCTTCTACGACACACCTAGTATGAGCTCAAAACGTACAAAACGCAGTGTTACTAAATCAATCAAGACTTTGCAGTACAAAGGATAAAAAAGGATTAAGCTCTCGCCGTTGATCAATCGCTGAGGGTTGCACGATGCATTCGACTTCACTAGGCATCGTTTGTAGTTGATTGAACACATACCTAGCCTTTAAAATGACTCGCGGTGGTCTGCCAACGCACCGAGTCAGTGCTGCTATTCTTTCAGGCTAGTCTGACACCAATTTACCGACCCCGGAGGAATGCAAGGCTTGGTGAGCCTGGGACGCGGGGATCGATCCAGGGCGCCTCCGACCACTGCGCCACGCGCACCTCGGTGAAATAGCTAGATGAACAAAACTTTACAAAACCTTTGAATAGCAGCGTTGGTGATATTCGCTGCTGCCAGAAGATAAGGCAATGTCGGTGACAAACCAAAAGGATCGATCGACCAGTGAGTTGTTGGACGAAAATCTGAAGATGTGGTTGAAATCCCAAACAACTAGAAAAAACTCTGGAATTAGAAGTAATGAAACAAGAAGAGCTATTAATCTGCAAAATCAAATCTAACCCACCTCCACCAATATGATTCCTAATCCACTCATGTCCTTCGAATAGCTCCGTAATGATGGAAAAGTACTGGGAATTCGCTTCGTCAGTCATTACCCATCCTCCTGTGACAATTTCAAACTTTCCAGAAGTTAGTAACCTAAAAACTGCCTTCAATCCACTTTGCTAACGTGTGGAAACAATACAGCTCCTAAGAAAAGTAGCTTAATCAATACGAAACCCACTCCCTAACTTTTGACTTGGTGGACTCGTTCTGATCCCTCCACCAGAGTTCGAAGAATGATATCTCGGCATAAATAAAACGCATATCTTCCTGGAAGTTTCGTAAATGCTTGTTTAAATAATCAAAAGTCGTTCGTATCTAAACCTCTCTATTTTAGCAATCTCTATGCAGGACATACCGTAGGAGAACTGAGGTGTTTGACCATTCCATCTAAGATTTTTCGCGTTTGGTCATGGTGATACTGCTCGAAGGTCTTGATCCAACCTATGTAGTCAAAGAAACAAACATAATAATAAATATGTATATATAACATAAATACATTACAAGAAAGAAAAATTAGAAGCTTTTACGAAAATCTGCCCACAAAAGCTAAACACCAACTATCGAAATTGCACCGTGTTTTGAAAAACAACTGCTCAAAAATTTAAAGAAATCTCCAGATCCACATAGGAAAACTACCTACCAGGATCACAATGGGAGTGAGGTATGACGATAACCTGGAGGGCTTTGCCTTCAGCGACCTTATCTTCATCGTAATTCACCTCCCAACCTTGTTTCCAGGCACCACCATCCGGATTGTCAAAAGGCAATAAATCATACAGATCCAGCATCTAAAAATCCAGTCTTAAGCACATTGAACATTCTGAATATATCGAACTCGGGATACAAATTATAACAAAGAAATCAAACTAGTATTTAGAGAGAACAATCAATTAACCTGAACATCGCTGTAGGTGTTCGTGTAATTCTGCCTAGCTGGACAAACTGACGATGATGGTTGATGAGAAGACGAAGCGGTTTTGTGAACGAAACCATGGACAACGGCAACTTTGTTTCCTGTTAATAAACCACGCTAAACATAAAGACATAATAAATACTTACTTGGATACTTGGATGGCACGTCATCACTGGTTGTGAGGGCCCCATCAGAATTTCCATTTTTTCGGAGTATTGCTAGTTTAGCCACTGGGGTTCCCTGGAGTCTCAAGGTCAGCCGAACCAAAGTCTGTCCCAGGTCGTCGCCACTATAGGCAGTCGCTGCCCTTAAGTATCAGAGGGAGATTCGCCACCGTGCAACTAGTATCCTGGTATTGGCTTTCTCTTAGCTGTGCTTCCTGATTGAAAAGCCGGACTCATTCTCAGGTTGGGAGACTCTGCTGGAGGGATGGATCCTCCGGCCACTCCCCAGCCACGATGAGGTGGTAAGCCAATAGGAGGATGACCACTAATTAACATACAGAATCCCATTTCACATAGAAAACAAAGGATTCAGGTTTCATGAGTAGCCAGAAATGACATGCCACTTGATTCGTTAACAGTCTGCCTTCAGGAAGGTTTAGGTGGACCATATCACAATTTCTAATTTATCAACAATTTGTTTACCATGCGAAATTTTTTCCCCGAATGTCGAAGTATTTCTGGTAGAAGCCTTTCTCGAGTTTTCACTACAGGCACTTACTCGACCTTGGGTAGCAGCGGGAGACTAGCCACACTCCACTAGTTTTCTTCTTTCTTCTAAGACGATCGCCATTCTTGGCCTTAGTTTACAGCACTCATAGACAAGATGTTAAACCGTTGAGAGAGGCCAGGAAGTGGAATGTTTAATGCAAAACTGTGATACTGGGTACACAGACTTACAGGAATTTTGCGGACTATGTTCTGTAACAATATTTGAAAACCGACTTTCCTTTAACCTCGGTATCACTAATCAATATGTATTCTTTCTTTGATAAGTTTACACGAGGTTGGTAAATGACTCGTAATTACTAACATCGTGTAAGCTTACCAATGAAAGAATACATTTTTTCTGTAAATCATAAATTCTTACCACAATATGAATGGATGAAAAAAAAGTACGACACCTTTGTTTGGTTCTGGAATAATTCCTCTCTGTCCATCATCAACCAGATTGTCACCGATGTTTTCCCCACCGTTAACGACCTTTTCTAACCCTTTTTGAGCTTGAGATTTCTCATCATATAGCTCATTCTCTTTTTCTGAAAAAAAAACGCGATAGACACCTTGCAACAAGAGATGTCAGACCCTTATAAACTCGAACGTCCAAAAATTGCTCTATGTGAGGAGGAATGCCATGGAATAGGCCAATGCAAGCCATGGAATAAGAGGACGTCAACTTTGGGAAGATAAATTCACACTTACCGATCCGTTTATCCCACTCATCCTTGTGCTTTCTTTCTAAATCCATCACCTCCTGTTTTAACGAGGAAAGATCATACCGATTGCTTCTTAATATTGACTGGAGTTCGTTGAATTTTACCTCCATTTTGTCAATATTATCCTAGGAAACACAATAATAAAAGAAAAAATAGTACTGACGAGTAAAAATTACTAAGGAAACTCTTTTAGCCCAATACAAAGTTGATGGGTACAGAAATTTGCAAATGACTTGACATTCAGCCAGTCGAAAGATCAACGTCCTTTTAACCTCGGCACTGATAGATCACTGTGTCCTTGATGTGAAAACACGACAGGGTTACTATAGCACCTATTTATCCACAACAGCTGATGTTTCGGCGGCTTCACCTTCCTCAGAGCCGTTCCGCTCTTCGTAAGAGTTTCAATTGTTCGAAACGAGCCGCACAGAGCTTTACACATGCGCGGCTGGTCCACATCGAATAACTAGAAGATTTACGAAGAACAGAACGGATCTGAAGAAGACGAAACTGCCCAGAAATCGGCTGTTGTGAATAAATCAATGATGTCGTCTAGTCGCCACGTCTAGTTTTCTCAACAAGAAAACAGTGAGTTATTAACTTGACACTGTATTTCACCTCTTCTTCTGCCAAGAATTGTTCCAGGAAGTCGCAGTAGCGAAGGAATCAACATTACCAAGAACGTACTATGAAACAATGCACGAACGGCCTCCAGATATTGTGATTTGTTTTCTGACCACATGACTGGATACCACATGTACCACATTGCACGGATCACAGCACCTCTTGCACTCGATGATTCGTTTCCTCGCATTCGTCATCTACGAAGATCTTCGAACTATTTCTGAGCCTAGCTTCGCTTCCTACTCGAGGAATTCTCCTTTTCTTCACAAATATCGTTGCATGCTGGTCTTGTAGATTCTCATTCGAGTCCAAGGATAGCCGTGTTTGGGGCGTTCCTGCGTCGATAGCGGAAGCGAGCTTGTTCCAGACAAATCTGATATCAGTTTTCCGAACTCAGAGAGATAATAGGCTTGGTGGGCTCTGTGCGGGTTCGAACTAGAGCCTAGGTAGGCTGGACTATTCGCGTAATGAACGGAATCACTACCACTACTGTGCAACTCGCTATCTTTCAGATACTTCACGAACGAGAAGTGAGTAGGTCAAAAAACATCCTCTTGTTGCCTGAATAGTAAGCGTATCTATCTTCCATATAAAATCCGAACGTTCTTGGACACCAACTTCATTAAAAATGGTTTTAAATGAGTGAATAAAAGTAATTCCACGTACCTCCTGAAGCAGTGATCCACTCATTGCCGTTCTGGTGTCAATACTATGATATAAGTACAAGCATACGATGAGAAAAGTACAAACTATTCCAATCGAGTACACATTGCCGTTATGTCGCGACATCGTCCCCACCTTGAATCCCTAAAGAACGGGCTACTTAATAATAAAAAACAACTATTGAACAATGATGAACGCGAAATAAGCGTTACAAACAAGAAAAAACACATTCTGAAGGCAGAAAACCAGAACAAGATCAAAAAGATTTGTTAGAGATACTGTTACTTGGATGGTCTGTCATCACTGGTTGTGCTGGCCCCAGCATAATTTCCAAATTTTCGAAGTTTTGCTGGTTTTGCCATTGCGGTTCCTTGGAGTCCCGGGGTCAGCCAGGCCAAAATCTGCCCCAGGCCGTCATCACCACAGGCGGTCGCCGCCGTTGTGGATCAGAGGTGTTGATATTGTTAGTGGCAAGTAAAAGCACTGTTATCGATGTAATCACCTTCTTATTTACTGCCTATTCTTTTTTCATGGCAGAGTATAATTCGAAATATAACTGCAATGATGCTGAGATCTTAGCAAAACTCCGGACTGCAGGTGTCTGTGGTGGAGATCGAACCCGCTATTACCCTTTCCGAGGGCTAACGCGTTCACCACCACACCATGCGGTTTCCTCGTGTTCACTGTTATTGATATTTTGACATGTAATGTGAAACGGTTGTCAAACTACTAATGTAAAGTGGGTAATCAAAAGTAAATAAATAAATAATTAACAATAACTTACACTTTACGGTTTTGAATAAATGAATAGATAATAAATAATCTACAGTAATCAAACTAATAAGAGCAATGAATGAAGATGGATGAACTAAAGAACCACATGGGATACGTTCATGGATGTATGTGGATATAATCGAACTAAATTTCACCAAAGGATGACGACGTGGGGCAAACTTTGGCCAGGCTGACCTTAGAACAGCGGGGAAACGCAATGGTTGAACCGAGGAATAGAGGATGTGCCGGGGCCCGCACAAGGTTGGGCCTCCAAGTATCCAAGTAAGTGGATCTCACCAAAACTTACTAAACAGTATGAAGTGAGTAAATCCGATTAGATTGAGGTAAAGTTAAGAAGGATATATGGAAAACTGGGAAATTCCCATAGATATGTCGTCCGGGAATCCAATGAATCCATTATAACTGGATTGTTTGCATGAATGCGACGTTGCCACCGTGACAACAATCGAATACAATGGACTATAGTCGCCCACGAAACTAATAAACACCATTTATTTTCAGTGAATTTAGGCCAAAAGTCGATCATTAAACTCATTTGGTGCCAAAGATCCATGCCTGGATAAAATACAACAACGCTTATTTTCAAAACACTTTTGTATGGCTTGTATGCGAAACACTCACTGCTCCTAATGAACTACTTTGTTCAACAAGTATAACTTTATCATAGAAACTCTATAACAATCACAAACCAAAAGATCGTAAGGAACTTAAGTAGATTACAAAATCACTTACCTTTAGATCAATCGCCCTCAGCTAGTCGTTTCCGCGCTCTGAGGACAATTTTGCGCTCTGAAAAATCGCCCCCTCCCAACAGCTTCTCAGCTGCGGAGTTCGATACCATCTTCTGAGAAACCAGATAGAAGTATGTTTATGGGAACAATGGTAGGGTTTTCTGGATGATACCTGGCCGCAAGGCGGGAAACCTCCTTCCAATCCGACGTTGTTGACGACAACTTGTGGTGCCGACAATGGAAAGATAAGTACTCCCTGGTACTGCCATGCATACCTAACAGTATAAATGCATCGACTGAAGAGTGTCCTGAAGTCGGCATCATTCTTCCTTTATCCTCGTATTTCAAGTACCAAGTAAGGAAGGCGACAAGGTCGATATCTATAGTTAAATGTTGATCTTGATATTGAGTTGCAAGGTTTTCGTTAAGGTAATATGATAAAACACTGAGGAGATTTTTCAGAGGGGCTCGATTTTAACAGAGAATGCACTAATCAATTTGTCACCGTCTAGAGTCTAGAGTCATCGCACTTGGGGGCATGACAATACCTGAGAGTGCGCGCTCGGTATTAGAATTGAGCCCAAAATTTTTACCATCGCAGTCCATTTTTAAAACAACCTTACG